GAACACTTCCAAACACTCGAAGAAAATCGACGGGCTTGCGCCTTCGGGGCGTCTTGGGGGCATCTGGGGACAGCTTGGGGGCCTCTCGGCGGCCTCGGGGGGGACTCCTGGGGTCGTCTTGGACGTGTGCGAGCGTGCCGCTCAGCAGCAAGGTTCTAGAGCCAAAAACAGTTTCGGCAGCATGAGGAGGCCTCTTCTCTCAGTAACAGCATTCTCGACCACACGCGCGCTTCGCGCGTGCTATGGCTCCAGCGAGGCTCAGCCATTCAGTTATTCGTATTTCTTATCCTCCAGTTTCCCAGCGCACTACTCCGAAGGCACCAACCGCCAGCGACGGCGAATCGCAGCAGGCAGAGCACGCGGGACTTGGGAGCGTCGACGGCGAACGACGGCTGAACTCGCATCCCAAGGATGGGCCCGAGTCCGAACCGATGTTCCGGAAGCCTCTCTGGGAAGATCGTGTAGAAAGTGTACATGAGGCCCCTGTGACGCTCAAAGAAGTCTTGAGGGAGGCCTCCAGCTCGGAATCAATGTCTCCAGAAACCGCTGCTCCAACATCGTTTAAGGTGTAGACGCGTGGCCTCTGAGAGGGTTGCGGGGGCCTCTTGGAAGCCTCAGGAGCCTTCAGCTCGTGCCGGGATGGGTCAGAGACTTATTGGACACAAGGTTGGGTCTCTTGGCGCGCTGCTCGGGCGCCTCTTGGTGGAGCGAGTTTTCAAGCCTCTTGAGGTTTCTTGGGGCCCCCCTGGGGCTCTCTTCTGGGCCTCTTGGGGGCCTCTTGGGAAACCGCTGCGGGAACATCGTTCAGGGTGTAGTTGCGTGGCTTCGGACAGTGTTCTGGTGGCCTCCTGGGAAGTCCCCGAAAAATTCGGCTCGCACTACCCAGGGAGGAGGAGGAGGAGGAGGAGGAGGAGGAGGAGGAGGAGGAGGAGGGAGGAGGAGGAGGAGGGGGAGGAGGAGGAGGAGGAGGAGGAGGGCCTCGGTTCTTGGGCACCTGTTGGGGCCTCGTGGCAGGCGTCTCGGGCCTCTCGTGGGGCCGGTTTTGAAACCCCTTGGGGCCGCTTGGGTGCTGTCTGGGGGCCACGTGGGGCCTCCTTTTGGGGCCTCTTGGGGACCCCCTCCTCCTCCTCCTCCTCCTCTCTCCCTCTCCTCCTCCTCCTCCCTCCTCCTCCTCCTCCCTCCTCCTTCCTCCCCTCCTCCTCCTCCCCTCCCCTCCTCCCCTTCCTCCCCCTCCTCCTCCTTTTAGGGCCAGCTCGGACCGTCTTGGGCGCCTCTTGGACCGTCTTCTGGCTCTCGTGGGCCGTCTTGGGGCATTCGGCCTCGTGGGCCGTCTTGCTCACTGCTAAAAAAATCGAAGGAGCGAAGATGCTGAAAAATGAACGTCTGCCGATAAGAATGTCGACGATTTTGGCAATCCGGGGCGCTCCTGGGGAGCATCCTTGGGATTATCTGGAATCCGTCTGGGGCCGTCCACAAGCAATTGCGGGGCCGCTCGTATGCCGGAATTGTGTCTTGGACAACTCTTGAAGCCGAAACAATCTCCCAGGGCGCCGAAAAGAGACACCAGACCCCCGTGCCAAAACTGGGTACCGATGGGGGACTTTTGGAAAAGTGGGCTCCCCCCGGGCACGGGGACCCGGCTAACTAGGCTGGATGGTCGAACTCTTGGAGATCACTATTCCATGACATTTCTTCTCCAGGGCTTCCAAGAACCAGGAAGACGGCCAAAAAGGCTTACAAGGCTTCCTACGGTCCACCTACCACGGCTTAAGACGAGCCCAAAAGGCACTTCGGGGGCCCTTTTATTCGTCGCGGCTGGACGCAGCCGGAGGAATAGAGAGAAGAAGGGGAGGTGGAGGGGTTCCCTGGGGGAGAAGGAGAAGGAGAATGAGGAGGAGTTGTAGAGGGTGGAGGTGGCCGCAGAGGAGGAGAAACAGGAGGAGAAGGAGGAGGAGAAGGAGATATGATATGCTTTCTTTTTCCCAACCATCCTGTGGTGTTGGGTCCTCGTTTTGAAGAAACGGTTCCCGCGTTTCTTTCTCCTCCTCCCGTGCCCTCCTCCCCCTCCTCCCTCCTCCATGCGTATCACCCACCCAGTACAACGTTTCGTGGCCCCATAGGGAGCTCCACCGAAGGCCCCAGGGGGGGGGGGGGACCACATGCGTCTGCCACATCCAGTACAGCGCTTCGTGGCCCCATGGGAGCACCAAGGCCCCAGGGGGGAACCACATACGTCTGCCACACCCAGTACAGCGCTTCGTGGCCCCATAGGGGGCTCCACCGAAGGCCCCAGGGGGGGTACCACATGCGTCTGCCACACCCCATACAACGTTTCGTGGCCCCATAGGAAGCTCCACCGAAGGCCCAAATGGGGGTAGCCACATGCGTCCGCCACACCCAGTGCAGCGCTTCGTGGCCCCATAACAAGCTCCACATACGGGCCCAGTAGGGGTGGCCACATGCGCCCGCCACGCCCAGTACAGCGCTTCGTGGTCCCATAGAGAGCTCCACGTAAGGCCCCAGTGGGGGTGGCCACATGCGTCCGCCACACCCAGTACAGCGCTTCGTGGCCCAATAGGGAGCCCCACCGAAGCCCCCAGTGGGACCGCCCACATGCGTCCCACACACACACACACACACACACACACACACACACACACACACACACACACACACACACACACAATTTGGCAGTTTCACCCACCCAGTACAGCGATTCTCATCCCCATAGGGAGCTCCACCGAAGGCTCCAGTGGGACCGTCCGCATGCGTCCCACACACCCAATTTAGCATTTTCACCCACCCAGTACAATTTTTCGTGGTCCCATAGGGAGCTCCACCGACGGCCCCAGTGCTATCGCCCGCGTGCATTCCCCCCTACCCAGTGCAGCGCTTCGTGGCCCCACAGGGAGCTTCACCGAAGAAGATATTCACAATTGCGGTACCCACATCTGCATATGGTCGGGTCCTTCGCCAGGATAATTTTGCAAGCGTAGCGAAGCTGCCAGGCGAACTTTAATATTATCCTGGCGAAGGATCCAAACATATGCAACTAGAACCATCGCGCGCGCTCAAGTTCTAGCTAGGTTTGATAGGCTAACTCATGTAATATCATGTTGGTCGCTTCTTGCGTCCAGGGACACCCTTGGAGGCCCTGCTCAAGCCTCGGAATCGTATAGAAGGGGAAGTGCGGAAACGCAGAAATCATTAATTTCCTTTAGGTATTCAACGATTTGGGGCCCTTCAAAGGCTTCCTGGGTTCCTTTTTGGGAGGTGAGGGGGGGTCTGAATTGAAGTCTTTTGTGCAAGAGTAGACCGGGGGCCAAACTTGAAAAACAAAGAAATTGTAGGATTTCCGTGCTGTTCCAGTTCCTCGGCGCTATTCGGCGCTGTTTTTTGCTTGTGCCTCGCGGGTTTTGTTAGCCAGGCCCCTCAGGGGTGTAGGATCTTCTGGACCCCCTGGAGCTTCTGGAGGCCTCCTGCAGGCCTAGAGAGCCGCCGGAAGGGTGTCTCGGGCTGCGCGGGAGCGTGTTGGGCCGTTCTTTACGTTCTGGGGGCTTCTTGAGGTCGTCATGGGCTGTCCTTCGGCGTCTTGGGGTCTCTCCCCAGGAAGCCGGGAGGCGCAGTACCAGCCAGCTGTCAGGGGATGTGTGGGACCCCAGAGTAGGAGTCCCACCTTGAGAAGAAAAAAATATGGGAATTCCGTTTTTTTGTCCAAAATCCTCGATCTTCGACGGTTGGAAGCGGGAAAACCTGAGAAGGCGAAAACATTAGAAAAAACATTGGAAATCAACGATTTTACACTCTTCGGGCTCTCTCGGGACGGCTCTCGCAGCTCTCTTGGGCTGTTATTGGAGCCTCGTCGGGGACTTTTTGGGGCCTCTCAGGGATCGGTGGTGTGTTGGGGGCCTCTGGGGGGTCCCAGAGGCCTCTCGGAGGTCTCTGGAAGCCTCCTGCTCCCGCTCTTGGGCCCATCTTGGGCCCGTTCTGGGGAGGTCTGGGGCTGTCCTGGGCGCCTCTTCGGCAATCTTGGAGCCTTCTTGGCCCGTCTTGGGGCAGTCCTGAGGGTCTCTTGGGTGGTCTTGGGGGGGTCTTGGGAGCCTCTTCGGCGCTCTTGGACCGTTGGAAGCTCGAAAACGCAAGAAGCCAAAAACATAAGAAAAAACATTGAAAATCTACGACTTTGGCCTCTTCGGGCCGTCCCGGAACGCCTCTCGGACCTCTCTTGGGGTCTCTTGGAGGCCACCTGGGAGCATCGAGAGCCGTCGGAAGGCTGACTTGGGCTGCTTGGGAGCGTCTTGGGCCATTCTTTCGACTTGGGCCCTCCTGGGACGCTGTGGAGGCTCCCCGGAAAGGCTGGGGGAGCGGTAGTGGGAGCGTCCCCGAGATGTGGCGGGGAGGTGCGGGACCCAGGGCCGGGGGGGCGGTACTTATTTATATTATATAGAACCGCGCGCGCGCTTCGCGCGCGCTTGGGTGCTAGCGCATGCCATGGCGTTGTCAGCTGCGCGTGCTTTTCGGACAGGCTCATTCCATGCCTTGCCTTACCTCGGCCTCCAATATTCCTTATACGTCCTTCCTCGTTTAACCCTCCAGACTCTCTCGGTTGTCCTCGCTTTTCGTTTCTCGTTCTTATCGACGGCCTCCTCTTGCTTGGGATTATGCGGGGGCTTCGAGCTGTTCAGGGTCAGCGTGGGAAGATATTCAATATGAAATGGGCTGGCTAGAAATGTACGGGTCTCTTGTGGATCTTCCTGTTTGGGCTGCCTTGAAGGCCTTGGGGCCCGCTTGGGCCCCTCTTGGGCTCTTCTTCGAAGATATAAGGCCGTCTCGAGCCTCGGCGCCATGTGAAGCTCTCCCGAAGCCATCCGAAGGAGACGAGCGTGAGATTTACTGAATACGGAGAAACCTAAATGGCTTTTGCGTTTGTGGCTTTCTGGGGTCATTTGGGAGGGCCTTTGGGAGTTCCACTGGGGCATCTTGTGGCCCCTAGGGGCCGCCTTGAAACAGCTTGGAGCGTCTTGGACCACTAAGGGGCCATCTTGGCGGCCAGCGGGCGTCGCTTGCTCTAAGTAGAAAGTGCATGGAATGCAGCGGCCAGCGCTGTACATGAGCTGCTACCTTGGGCTGCAGCTCGCTGGATACTGATGCGTGAAAGGCGCTGCTACCCTGAGCTGCAGCGCCATGCAAGTAAATATCACTTATCCCACACAGCACTTGAACGAGAGATGGACATGCTTGGTCCGCGCATGAATTTCTGTCCTGAATCCTGAATGGATGAGCATCTGACCCAAATCCAAAATTCCCGGATTCCTTGGGGCCTTCTGAGACTCCGCGAAACCGTTAAGAAGCCAGGAGGCGCGGTTCCGGCCAGATGTCAGGGGATGTGTGGGACCCCAGAGTAGGAGTTCAACTTTGATGGAAAAATGGAACTCTTGGAATTCCCTGTTTTTTGTTCCAAAATCCTCTATCTTTGAGGGTTGGAAGCGGGAAAACGCGAGAAGGCGAAGAACATGGGCTCAAGCACTGGAAGTCACCGATTTTACCCTCTTTGGGCTCTCTCGGGACGGCTCTCGCAGCTCTCTTGGACTGTTCTTGGAGCCTCGTCGGGGTCTCTTTGGGACCTCTGCTTGGGAGCGTCTTGGGCCATCCTTTCACATTCTGGGGGCTCCTAGGAGGCGTCTGGGGCCCTCCTGGAGCGCTGTGGAGGCTCCCCGGAAAGGCTGGGGGAGCGGTACCAGGAGCGTCCCCGAGATGTGGCAGGGAGGTGTGGGACCTGGGGCCGGGGGGGGCGGTATCTATTCATATATATATATATATGTATATATATACACATATATGTATATATATATATATATTCATATATATACACATACATACATACATACATACATACATACATACATACATACATACATACATACATACATACATACATACATACATACGTACGTACGTACGTACATACATACATACATACATACATACATACATACATACATACATACATACATACATGCATACATGCATACATACATGCATACATACATGCATACATACATACATACATACATACATACACACATTTATATAAATATGTATATATATATATATATATATATATATGTGTGTATACGCGCACTTCGCGCGCGCGCGCTAAGGTTCTAGCGTGTCACAGACACTGAAATCGCTGTGCGGAAAAAATGTTTGGAGTTTCTCAGGCAAGTGAGGATTCCAATGACTCCAGCGGCAACACCTGCTTGAGGCACCGCCAGGGACGGACCAGGTCGGACCAGCTCTCTGGTCGACCAGCTCTCTGGTCGACCCTCTTGGGCGCGCCCTGGGGCTCTCTTAGGCCGTTTTGGGGGAGCATCTTTTGGTCTTTTTTCGGGTCTCTTGGGGGCCTCTTGGGGCTTCTTGGGCGCTTCTTGGAGCCTCTTGGGGTCTCCTGGGGGCCTCTTGAGCCAAAACGCTCGAATCCTCGGTTCCTCGTCCCCATCTTGGGCGCCGACCTGGGGTGTTCTTCGGCGGTTTGGGCGCCTCGGGGGCCGTCTTGGCCCCCTCGTGGGCCGTCTTGGAGCCCTCTTGGGGGCACCCTCGACCGGTTTGGGTGCCGCTTGGGCCACCTTGGACGCTGTGGAAGCTCAAAAGGCGAACACGCAAAAAATATCAGCTTCCCGTTTTAGGAAACCGACGATGTTTGCTTATTTGGGGCTCTATTGGGGTGCCTCTCGGGAGCCTGCTGGGGGTCTCTTGGGGGTCTCTTGGGGCCTTTGGGGGGCCTCTTGGGGCCTCCTGGGGACCTCTTGGGGCCTCCTGGGAGCCTCTGGGGCCGAAAGCTCGGAATTTGAATATGGTTGTGCACCTCTGGGACCCCTCTGGGGCTCGTCCTGGGGCTCCCTTGGGCTGTCTTGGGGGCCTTTCGGGCCGTCTTGGGACCCTCTTGGGGTCGTCTTGTAGCCCTCTTGGGAGCCTGTGGGGCAGTCTTGGGGGCCTCTTGGGCCGTCTTGGACGCAGTGGAAGCCCAAAAAGCGAAAACGCCAAAAATATCAGTTGTCCCATAGGAAATCGACAATGTTTGTTTATTGGGGCTTTATTGGAGTACCCCGTGGGGCGTGTTCGGGGACTCTTTTTCCCCACATGCTTAGTGGGGTTTTGGTTTTCTTCTCTGCCTCGTCGCACCCGCGTCTCCCGCACCTCCCTCCTCCCCTTCTCACACAGCGCAGCGCAGCACAGCACAGCACAGCACAGCACAACTCAGCTCAGCACAGCACAGCACATCTCAGCACAGCACAGCACAGCACAGCACAGCTCAGCTCAGCTCAGCACAACACAGCACAGCACAGCACAACTCAGCTCGGCACTTTCTCGACACCACCGGGGGTGCGCACGGGGTGGTCCCTGAGCGCGGCCGCTATCCGTGACGGTCGTCCAGGGCACAGCAGGCGTGGCGTTTTCTCGACACCACAGGGGGTGCGCACGGGGTGGTCCCTGAGCGCGGCCGCTATCCGTGACGGTCGTCCAGGGCACAGCAGGCGTGGCGTTTTCTCGACACCACAGGGGGTGCGCACAGGGTGGTCCCTGAGCGCGGCCGCTATCCGTGACGGTCGTCCAGGGCACAGCAGGCGTGGCGTTTTCTCGACACCACAGAGGTGCGCACGGGGTGGTCCCTGAGCGCGGCCGCTATCCGTGACAGTCGTCCAGGGCACAGCAGGCGTGGCGTTTTTCTCGACACCACAGGGGGTGCGCACGGGGTGGTCCCTGAGCGCGGCCGCTATCCGTGACGGTCGTCCAGGGCACAGCAGGCGTGGCGTTTTTCTCGACACCACAGGGGGTGCGCACGGGGTGGTCCCTGCGCGCGGCCGCTATCCGTGACGGTCGTCCAGGGTACAGCAGGGGTAGCGTTTTCTCGACACCACAGGGGGTGCGCGCGGAGCGGTCCCTGAGCGCGGCCGCTATCCGTGACGGTCGTCCTTGCGGTATCGGCGGGGCAACGGCTACCAACATCATTCTCACATGCTTCACTTCAGCTATCATCACCCCAGCCATAATATAAGTATGTGGGGTTCCTCGGTAGCGAAATCATGTGCTTGCGGGTCTCTTGGGGACCTCCTGGGGCTTCTTGGGCGCTTCTTGGAGCCTCTTGGGGTCTCCTGGGGGCCTCTTGGGCCAAATGGCTCGCATGTTCGTTTCCTCGTCCCCGTCTTGGGCGCCGACTTGGGGCGTCGTTGAGCGGTTTAGGCGTCTCGTGGGCCGTCTTGGAGTCCTCTTGGGGGCATCCTCGACCGTCTTGGGTGCCTCTTGGGCCGGCCTGGACGCAGTGGAAGCCCAAAAAGCGAACACGCAAAAAAATATCAGCTTCCCTTTTTAGGAAACCGACGATGTTTGCTTATTTGGGGCTCTATTGGGGTGCCTCTCGGGAGCCTGCTGGGGGTCTCTTGGGGGCCTCTTGGGGCCTTTGGGGGGCCTCTTGGGGCCTCCTGGGGACCTCTTGGGGCCTCCTGGGAGCCTCTGGGGCCGAAAGCTCGGAATTTGAATAGACCCCTCTGGGGCTCATCCTGTCCTGAAGCTCTCTTGGGCTGTCTTGGGGGCCTTTCGGGCCGTCTTGGGACCCTCTTGGCGTCGTCTTGGAACCCTCCTCGGAGCCTGTGGGGCAGTCTTGGGGGCCTCTTGGGCCGTCGTGGACGCAGTGGACGCCCAAAAAAACGAACAATCTACGATTTTTGCTTATTGGGGCTCTCTCGGGGTGCCTCTTGGGGCGCGGGGCCCTCGGGGGCCTTCTTGGCGTCATGGGAGTCGTCTTGAAAGGCGTCTGGAGCCATCGCTGCGGCCTCCTGGGGCCTCCCTGCAGCCTCTTGAAGCCCTGTTGGTTGGCCCCGGGTCGCCGAAACCCTGTAAAAACACAAAAGAAAATGACGCCCGGGCCCGGCATTTGCGGGGGGTCGCCGGCCCCCGGCCCCCGGACCTGGTCCCCCGTTATATGTATATAGTGGGTACCACAATTGTGAATATCTTCGTCTGTGAAGCTCCCCATGGGGCCACGAAACGCTATGCTGGGTGGGGGGGAAAGCATGCGGGCGGTAGCACTGGGTCCGTCGGTGGAGCTCCCTATGGGGCCACGAAACGCTGTACTGGATGGGTGTAAATGCCGAACCGGGTGTGGGACGTAACGCGGACGGTACCACAGGGACGCTGTACTGGGGGGTGAAAATGCCAGATTGAACTTCCAAGACGCATGCGAACGGTCCCGCTGCGGGGTTCGATGGAGCTCATTATGAGACCACGAAACGCTATACCAGTTGGGTAATATTTTTCAAAACAAAAAATATGGCTTCCGGGGCGCATTCAAACGGTCCCACTGGGGGTTTCGTGGAGTTCCCTATGGGGCCACGAAACCCTGTATGGGATGGGCGAAACTGCCAAATTGAGTGTGGGACGCATGTTGGCGGTCCCACTGGGGGCTTCGGTGGAGCTCCCTATGGGGCCACGAAACACTGTACTGGGTGGGTGCAAATGTCAAATTGCGTGTGCGGGACGCACGCGGGCAGTCCCATTGGGGGTTTCGTCGGACGTCCGTATAGGGCCACGAAACGTTGTACTGGGTGTGTGAAAATTTCAAATTGGGCGTGCGGGACGCATGCGGAAGGTCCCACTGGCCACGAAACGCTGTACTGGGTGTGCCGGACGCATGTGGCCACCCCCACTGGGCCTTCGGTGGACTTCCCTATGGGGCCACGAAACGCTGTACTGGGTGTGGCGGACGCACGTGGCCACCCCCAGTGGGGCCTTCGGCGGAGGAGCTCTAGGGCCACGAAACGCTGTACTGGGTGTGGCGGACGCACGTGGCCACCCCCACTGGGGCTTTACAAAGAGCCCCTTTTATGGGGCCACGAAACGTTGTACTGGGTATGGCGGACGCATGTGGTACCCCCACTGGGGCCTTACGTGGAGTTCCCTATGGGGCCACGAAACGCTGCAATGGGTGTGGTAGACGCATGACGTTCCCCCAGTGGGGCCTTACGTGGAGGTCCCTATGGGGCCACGAAACGCTGTACTGGGTGTGGCGGACGCATGTGGTGCCGCGGGGACCGTCTCTTCAAAACGAAGACCCAACACCACAGCACGGTTTGGAATTATCCTGGCGAAGGACCCAACCATATGCATTTGTGGGTACCGCAATTATGAATATGTTCTTCGGTGAAGCTCACTATGAGGCCACGAAGCGCTGCACTGGGTGGAGGGGAACGCACGCGGGCGGTAGCACTGGGGCCGTCGGTGGAGCTCC